CCCAGCAGCAGCTTTATTTTTTTATGTCTATTGTCAGAAACAGATGAAACACCTTGCTGATTCACAGTCAGAACTCTGTTGGTCACATATGAATAAAATTCAGCCAGGTATGCTGGCTCACATCAGCAATCCTCACATAAGAACAGCTGAGGCAGGAACATTCCTCCAGGTTTAAGTTCCAAATCAACTTCAGCTCTAAGACCTTGCCTTGGAAAAAAAAAAAAAAAGAAATCCCCAATTAAGTACATAAATAAGTAAATAAATAAATAATAAAAGTCAATGTTGAGTAAATTTAAGAATGGGCTTTTGACTTTCACCCTAGTCCCAGTACTTTGGGGGGCAGGGAAGATGTCTTTTTGAGATAGGGTGTCCCGTAGTTCTAGCTGCCTTGGAATTCCCTATGTAGACCAGGCTGGCCTGGATCTCATAGAGATCCACCTGTCTCTACTTCCTTAGTGGTGGAATTACTGGCGTCCACCACCAAGCCTGGCTCTACTGTTAATTAATTATTATTATTATTATTATTATTATTATTTGGGTCTTTTTGAGATAGGGTCTCCCTGTTGCCCTAGCTGGCCTGGATTCGCTATGGAGACCAGACTGGCCTCAAACTCAGAGATCCGCCTGCCTCTGCGTCCCCAGTGCTGGGACTAAAGGTGTGTGCCACCATGCCTGGCTCTACTCTTAGTTTTTGCTTTCACTCAGGGAGCTGATTCAGTCTATCTAAGAAAGAAAAAGTTCCATATAGGATTAACAGGGTGGAGAGTCAGACATCCTATCAAATTGCTGATTGTGGCTGGGGGCTAGGGCAGCAAAGGGGTGGTGTGAGTAGAAAAGTGAAAAAAGTTTCAAAGAAGCTGGAGAAGTCAGAGTCCTGGAACTACTGCCTGGTCCTGCTGGGATTCCGAGAGCTGTTCTCAGACACCAGAAGTGGTAAGTCACAGGACTTCCTGATTTCTGTCTTCCGAGTCACAGATTGGAGGCCTTGTTCTTTATTTTACATGCTGCTTTGCCTTTATCTCAAATGTCTTTCTTTTCTATGTTTGTTTGTGATTTCATTATTTTAAAAAAAAAATTATAGCTGGATGTAGTGGCAAATGTCTGTAGTCCCACCACTTGGGAGGCAGAGACAGGTGGATCTCTGTGAGTTCAAGGCCAGCCTTGTCTACATAGTGAGTTCCAGGCCAGTTGGGGCTACAGGGGGACCCTGTTTCAAAAAGACAAAAAATTTATTTTTTTAGACAAAGCCTTCAGATCCTGCTGCCTCAGCCTCCTGAGTGCTGGGATTCCTATCACGTTTCCCCATTCTCTGGTTCATAGCCTGATTATTTTTGTTTGCCACCATGTCTTGATTTATTTATTTTATTTATTTATTTATTTGTTTGTTTGTTTGTTTGTTTGTTTATCTGAGACGGTCTCACTCTACAGCTCTGTCTGACCAGTATCTCACTTAGTCCTCCGGACTGGCCTTGAAGTCCCAGAGATCCACCTGCCTGTGACTTCTGAGTAGCTGGAACTAAAGATATTTTCACCACGCCTAGGCTAGCCCCAGGGTACATTTCTCCAGCCTGGGGCTCACAGTAGCTGGATTTACAGTGTGAATTACTCAAATATCTTGAATTATGCTTCCCCAAAGGCACAACAGAATACAGGTACCCGTGGCGGAAGCGGGGGTCTGGCTGCCCAGCGGTATGGGCTGGTGGCCTGGGCCGAAGCGGCCCCTCAGGGTCCAGCGATCCCCCCCATGGGGCCACGAGCATGTTTCATGTCAATTTAAATTTCCTTTTCTTTGCCTCTTCAGACATGACCTCATCCTCTAGCCCAGAATGTCCTCAAAATTTCAGGAGCCCACCAACATGTCCCATTCTTCTGAGGATTAGAACTAAAACCCCGAATCTCAACTCAGGCTTTATTTTCAATTATTTTTTTCTTTTACGTTTTGGAGACAGGGTTAAATGTGGACCAGGCTGACCTGGAACCCAAACAAGAATGACTGAACTAACACTCTTCCTGCCTTAACTTCCCACTGGTGTTAAATCCATGCTAGGAATCAAATTTTCTCCATTTAAAATTTTTTTCAAATATGTATTTGAGATGGAGTCTCATGTAGCCACGGGTAGTCATGAACTCATGATCCTCCTTCTTCCACCCCCAAGAGATGGGATTGAATATTCAGGCCTGTCCCCCAGTGCTGACTGTATCTGGTTAAATTTTTATTTTTGTTTTTGCTTGGATTTTTTTCCTTTTTTTTGAGACATGGTCTCCTCCAGATCAGACTAGCCTTGAATTCATTAGGTAGGCCCAGGGTGACTTTGGACAGATGATCCTTTAAACTCCATGTCCTCAGGGTTGGAGTTCAATGTGCTTGCCACCATACCAGGTTTAAGAGGTACTGGGTAGGAACACAGGGCCTGTTGTATCCTATTCAAGAACTAAGCTGCAGCTAAAGACCTAATCTAATAGTGTTAACATTTCTTAAAAAGGAAGTTTGAAGCCAGGCATGTTAGCACACTCCTTTAATCTTAGCATTTGGGAGGCAGAAACAGGTGGCCAGCCTGGTCTCCATAGCAAGTTGCAAGTTCCAGGCCAGGTGTAGCTACAGGGAGACCCTGTCTCAAAAAGAAAATAAAAAGGAAGTTTGAGATTTTTGTTTGTCTTAGGTATAATTTGGTTTTAATAAGAAATGCTCATTGAACAGCAGTTTCCTTTTTTTGTTTGATTTGTTGTATTGAGACAGGGTCATATAGCTTAGGATGGCCTAGAAGTCTTGATCTTCCTAGCTTCTAAGTTGTGTTAATTTAGTTAGCTCAGAATTCCTTAAGTTAAACTTCATTTGCTATGTACTCCCTAAATTAAACTTCGTGTGCTATGTTTTATGGCCTTTAAGGTTCAATTGTTCTTTTAACTTTTATTTCTTTCTTAATTTCTCCTTTGACCCATTCATCATTCAGACGAATGTTGTTTAATATTCATGTGTTCATGTAGTTACTAGGGTTTCTTGCAGTGTTGATTTTAAGCTTTATTGCATTGTGGTCTGATAAAATGCATGGTATTATTTCTTTTAGAATGCATGGAATTATTTCTTTTTTTGTCTTTTGTATTTGTTGAGGTTTGTTTTGTGTCCCAGTATGTGGTCAATTTGTGAGAAAGTTCCATGGGGTGCTGAATAGAAAAAGTATTCTTTGGTGCTTGGGTGGAAACACCATAGTTCTAACAATGTGTTTTCTCTATTGAAAACGAATGAACAGAAGCATTTTGTGTTAAAACACGTTTCCTACCAATTGTATGCAAAAGTGTGTTTGCAACACTGGC